TTGACTGACTTGACATGTAGTTATTGATTATAGAAAGGTGTGCCTAGGACTTTTAGGATAATGAGATCCATTCTCATGATCCTGATCTTTCAATCGAAGTAAAACTATATTGACCTTTATAAAAGAGATTTTTTACCTTCTGCCAAAAAAATTTTTGAATAGGATAATTTATATTGGTTTTTGCTTAAGAATAATAATTCAAAGTATATATCAAAAATCATTAGCAAATAGAATATTAGAAATAATATCAAGAATTTATCTTGGCCAGCAATATCTTTAGATCAAAATCTCATTAAGAATGTTTAGCGAATTATGAAATTACAATTAACTAAAAAAAAAAATTAAAAAAATTAGTAATTTAATAAAAGAAATAAAAAAAAAATAAAGTATTCTTTCAAATGAACTTGTCTTAAATTTGGTTGACAGTATGAATAGGCAAATTTTATCTTTAATTGAATTAGGAGAAGATTATACTTTATATTGATAATCAGGGTTTGACATAATATTTATATAAAAAAAAAATAATAAACTTTTTTTATTTTTAATTAATTTAATTATGTACAAGTTACTTATGAGCATAACTGTATATCAAAATTACAGTTTGATTTTAAATCTAAAGTTTAATGCTAAAGTCTAATAAAATTGCTGTTCAATTTTAAATTTTAAATTCTATAATTGAAAAATATTACGAATGAATTATTATATGTGATATATCTCCAAAGTTAATAATATATAATTTGAATTATACATGTTTTCTTATTACCATAAAAGGAAATTTTATCGACAATATAATTTCAAATTAAATACGATTCCCAATTACTTATTAATTGTTACTTGATAATACGAACATAATACAGTTTTTGAAAAATGTCTGAATTAAATACAAACACATGTATAATTTGAATTACAAGATTTGTTTGCAAACCTTTTATCATGATTATATATTTAAAAATAATTAGACCATAGTTAGAATTCTAGACAATAGTTTTAAAATAAAAAGGTTTATTGCTAAAGTCTAATAAGTAAGAATAAGTCTAATTACATAGAAACGTAATATTATGTATCGAAATTGTAGTTCAATTTTAACTCTAATGTTTAATGCTAAAATCTAATAAGTAATAATAAATATTGCGAATAAATTATTATATACGACAAGTATAAAGTTCTCTTTATCTCTATCATGACTATTCTTTTAGATCATAATTAGAATTCTAGTTGATAGTTTTCAAAATTGTCTCAAAAATATAGTATATTCAGAAGTTCTTCAATAAATATATTGTATTTATATAATAATAAGTAATATTCTAGCATTTTTTATGTTTTTTTATTAATTATTATTATTGTTATGATATAAATAATGACATAATAAGTCACATGAAATCACAGTTATCATGTATTGATGCTTTTTACATGATAGTGTAATATTATACAAATCTATCTATTGCGGATTTTTGTTAATTTAATAGTTAAAATTAATGGTAAATTTTTATTATAACATTAAAACCTAACCCCGTCATTCAATGACGGGTCCATCACCTAGTAATTATATAAAAAAGATGAGTAGATAAAAAGATAATTAAGAAAGAATTATTATTTCAAGAATTATTTATTGTCACGAACTTGGCATTCTGGGTAGGTACGCAATTCCCCAGTAACTTAAATGTAAAAACAATATTTGACAAACGGTAATTAGTTTATCAATTATCTTAAAAAATTTTTTGTATTTTTTATTTTTATTTAAAATTTTTTGTGTATTAATGCATGAACTTATAGAATAAACGGAAACGATATTATAGAACATAGGATGGTGGTAATATAGTATCAATGACAGGAGTAGGTATTAAAGAAGATATACTATCATAAGAAGGTAAAGAATTTAGATCTACGTTATCTAATTCACCCGCCAGTGGTGAATTTGTATCTGAATATAAAGACGATGAATCTTCGGGGACTCCTTTATCCAAACAGTGATAATCGTATGCAGGAAGTCCTATATCATCGGTACTACTAATTGGGCATGTAATGACAACCGGCAAAGAATTACGAAGTTCGGTAAATTGCATATCCTTTTCATTTAAAATTATGATGCTAAAATTTAGTTCGTGTCGAATTTGAATTTGCCCATTCTCTGAATCGGCTAAACACGATGATTTTGAAATCAATATTTTTTCATTCTTAGTCCAAGTTCCTTCATAATAAGGAACTGATTGATCTTTCGTAGAATAAAGAATTCGTTCACGTGTAACTTTTTTTGATCTAATGTTATAGGTCGCTATCTCTTTGAAACCATAGGAAATTTGAAAAACTTTATATTCTGACATTAAAGATTTGAGAACAATTTCTATTGGAATCCTGCCACCGAAACAAATGTACTTTGAACCAACAGAAATATCGTATTCGACTTTGTTTTCCCAGGAATTATGAACGAACATGCTCTGCAGAGAGACAAGGAAATTTGATATCAAACATCTATTTATCCGGACCTTACGTTCGGTGTGGATATTTGGGGAAAAAAAAGGTCTCTCGGCGACAGCTTTAAGACTATAACGGACGTAACTTTCATTCCAGGTATCAATGGTTTCGGTTAAGGTTCCAGGCAGGACGAGCTCAAAATTCCAATAATAATTATCAGGGTTGAGTACTTGGTATTTATTTTGTGCAGAGAGGAAGACCCAATCATGTTGATATAATACCCTTTCCTCGCAATAATCAGTCACATTTGTATCGCATTCTGAAGTTAACAGGAAATGCATGTGTGAATGAGTGCCGTGAAAACAAAAGTTGTTTAGCAAAAGCAATAAATAACAAAAATGTACCTTTTTTTACTGAGATTTTAGATTTTCCTTGGAATATAAGCTTAATTACTTTGACCTTAACAGGTTCAGTTATTGCCAGAACGAGTTGTCCACGTAGGATACAACCGACTGATTCGGATTGAGACCCACTCATCGTAAGATCATCGTTTTCCAATCGTATTTGAAACAAAGGTGACGGATTTATCGTTATAACATTGACCATCTTTTATTGTATTTTTGAGTTATTAATTCAAGAGTTTAAATCAAGGCAAATTTTGATTTTGTGATTTAATAATCGTTTTTGTGAAAAATTATAAGACTCCTCGGCATATATATATATTAAATTATTGTTACAATGACAAAAACGGAAGTTTTGTTCAAATTATATGGTCATCCTTGTTTGTAAAAATATGTTAACTGGAGAATTTTTATTACATCTTGACGTACAATGATGCTTTTGCATCTAATCTTTGTGGCTGTTTACGTTTTCCTGCAGAAAAATAATAAGAACTACTCCATCCCAATCAGAATGTAACAGTTATGCGGGAGCTGGGTTTGTATTTTCGCTTTTCATTGTGTGATTCGATTAATGCACCTCTTTATTGAAGAACGTTTTAGGACTTTGCCAAGCAAATCCAGTTTTTCTCATTGAAAATATGTAGTGTAACACCCCGTGAGGCGATGCCTCATTTCTAATTTAGTTATTACAAAACTGGTTTGAAACGGACCTCGAGTTACTTGGGAAATAATTTTCTAAAAATGATTTTTCGAGATCACATACTTAATGATGCTCAAGGCGCATTACGGCACAAAAACACTTGTCGTATAAATATCCATAATTAGTTGTGCATATAAATCTCCTTAATAAGTCGGGTCATATTTCAATTATACAATGAACTTTCGAAAGTTATTAAGTGTTCTAATTTTACATTTGTTTTTAACTATATTGTATTCCGGAATAAAATGGATTTGTACCATAAAGATTACAAAAAAGTAATTCAATAGAGTTCAAAAAAAAAATTATTATGTAGACATAATTGGTTAAAGATGAATAATCACGTGGGCGAAAATAATCATTTTTTCTGCACAATGCTTGTATATAGACAGTTTTATTCTATGCTTTGGACAATATAAATTTATATTTGTATTTGAACCTTAAAAATTTATTATGAAACAATTACAATCAAATTTTTATAATAGTAAGCTTGAATACAATGTGGTGCTAAAAATTTATATTTATATTTATATTTTAAGATATATCTATATATAAATCAATATTCTATTTTTCATAATATACTTTTTACATAATTCATTAATTGATCTTTTGAAATTTTATTTAATTTTTCTTATAATATAATTTTTAATTTTTTGAAATTTCTTATTTATTTTTTTTAAAATTACAAATATTCAATTGAATTTAAATTAGAAAATTGACTTGATTAATAAAGTACAGTAAAATTTTATTTTTATTTTCTAAAATCTATTTTTGAATATTATAAATTTATTTTTTTTAATAAGCCATAAATATATAGCTTTTATTAAATATTTCATATTGTAAAATTATTATTATTTTTTAATATTAAGATAAGATATATTTTATAATCTTTATTAATAATGTAATTATTATTATTATATGGTTAATTTTAAGATGTAAGATATATAGACAAAGTTAAACCATATATATATTAGTCTATTACCTATTATAATAAATATATTTATAATAAAAAACTCTTGAGCTGGAAAAAAATTAAGAAAGAAACTATCTATATATAAGAATAGAATAAATTATATAAAAAATTTGAAAAGCAAGATTGCCATAATATATTAAAAGAATATAAAAGTATTGAGAATTGAAAGATAAAAATTTTTTGATATAAAGTTACTATATATATTAATTTAAAGTTAGGATTAATCATCTATCAAAAGTTACATATAATTAAATGAGTTAAAAATAAAAGATATTGAAGTAATAATAATATATATTAAGTTTTGAATGCAATTATTTTTTGTATTAACAATTTTACTTATAGGATATAGATCAAATGTGTTTATTTAAATTTTATCTTTCTTCTTAATAACTGAATGCAACTCCAGTAGTAGTAAAAAAGTATTGGCTTAAGTTGCCAGATTATATTATATAATATTCTAATATTTTATTTTCATTTATAATAAAAGTATTTTGCTTTTATCCATATTAATTAGATTTAGACTGTATTTTTTCTTTAAAAGTAATATTGCTACACATAAATCACAATTCTATTATTAATAATAATTGTAAAAGATCAAATAGTTTATAGGTTAGTATTATAGTTAAAATATTAATAAGTTGGATATAGAGCTTGCTTCAATCTTGTTATATTGTTTTGATATTTATTTGATTAAAAATTACCAAAATCTACAAGATACAGTTATATACTCTTCCAATTCAATATGTTGTCAGTTGATTATAATTATTATTATTGTTGTTATTATTATTATTATTATTAGTATGTGAATATTTTGTTAAAAAAACTGATTGAAAATAAGTTTAAACAGGTTTGACTTTGTTACTAAAGAAGTAAAAAGATTTAATTAGTTATTGGTTATACATATATATTAATCTTTTGATAAGATAGAATTGAATATAGTTTTTAAATTAAAATTTTTTTGAAATAGTAATAAAATAAGAAAATAAGATATAATGTTGTTTTTGATAGTAAAAGAAAAAGAAATATAAAAAATTCATAAAGATTGTATTAAATTCAATAACTTTGTTTGAATATAATTAAAGATATATTTGTAATATAAAGGGAAAAAAAAGTGATTATAATAGTTATATAAAAATAAAGATTTTTAAAGACAAAAATTATAAAAAAAAATATTATAGGCCTTTCCTATATAACCAAGAGCTAAGAAAAACTTTCAACTTGTTTAAATCTTGATCAGAAATTTTATATTATTGCAATAATATTCCTTAAGTCTTTATATTCTTTTGTTTAAAGTTTATTTGTCTTACAAAAATAAAAAAAAGAAGTATTTTTTAAAAGAAGATTTTTTAAAAAAATCAATAATAAACAGATAAAAGTTTTTTTGATTTTAAAATAATATTTAAAATATATATTTTAATATTAATATTTATTAAATTTAAATAAATTAAATAAGTTTAATAAAGATTATTACAAATTTAAATAAAATTTTAAAAATATTATAATTATAATAATTGTTTTTTTATTCAAAATTAGATTACATACTTATTATGTTTATTAATTCTAAATAGAAGATACTTATATTTATAGTTTTGAAAATTGGAATTAAACAGACTCATATAGACTTGCATAAGATTAGAACACTATTAAAAATAATAGTGAATTATAAACCTGAAAATTGAGAATCAAATTGAATCAAATCATTAGGATACTTACTTATATTTGTATTAAAAATATTTATTATGCAATATATCTATTATAAGCCTAAGGTTCTTAAATATAATTATAAGAAATAAAAAAAGTTACTCAATTATATTTTGATATTTTTTATCAGTTTAAAACATTATAGTCAGTACTTATTTGGAATTGTTACTTTTACATAACTGCTGTAGTTCTATAGAGATAAAAAAAATTTATTTCTTAAAAAAGATAAAATGAAAAGAAAAAAAAATAAAAAATTGAATTGATAAAACAAAAACTTTTCTTGAACAATATTTAGTTTGATCACCTGTACCTAAATACTTATTTAATTTTCACTATTTTAATTATTAATCAAAAACATTTAAGAGTACTTTTAGAAATGTATTTCTTAAAACTTTATGTTTGAAAACTTCTAACCTTTAGAAAGAATTGATATATTGTTTGGCAATTTCTCTTTCAATCAATTTTTCAAGAAATTAGGATTTTATTTAATCAAAAAATAGTTTCAAGATTCCTTTTTTCAACTATTTTCAAAATAATCAATAGTAAATTTAGCTTATTATTGGATTTGAATAAAACCTTTTTTTAAATTTTTTTAAAAAAAATATCAAATTATTTCTTTTATCAAAAAGTATAGCTTGTTATCTTTCTCATTTTGCTATAATCAATTACATAATCTGATAAAAGTTGCATGAGATAAAACATATAAGATTTATATATCTTGTTTACATTTTTTGTTACATATAAATCAATTAATCCAAATTTTGAACCAATTTTTATTCAAGAATTTTGATGTAATTAAAAATTCAAAGTCAAATTAAAATAGGCAAAATTCTTCAAAAAAATAAAAAAAAAGTTTATATATTTAAGAAGATAAATATGAAACTTGAGAAAAATGAAAGAGAGTCCTCAAAACTATACATGTTGTTGAAATTCATAGATCCTTAACACAATTGACACAATTATTATTATTATTTTTTTTTTTGTAGGTAAACATCATTTCTTTATTTATTTGTATAATAATAGATATACATTGTGAAAGAAATAACATCTTTCATGTGTATTAGTACAATGAGTTAAATGCTAGCTTGCCTACAGTAATCACTAAACTAATATTGAAAAGAAATTTTTAAAACAATATATCTTGTCAAGTG